TCCTATTTAAAATATCTTTCATGATATAAAGTATGGTTGACTTTACATCAATAACATATAGGATTTCCATATCAAATCATGTAAAGGGTCCCAAGTACACTATTTAACATCTTACTGTACAATAAAGTATTGTTATAAAATATATATATATAGAACATGTAGAAGATAATAATTAACCTTCAATAAATTAGTAAAAGTTTGAATCACTCTTCTGTTCTCATTGACGGACCATTCTTGTTTTATATAATAACGTTGATATGAATACCGAACTCTTATTTTGTTACAATAGTATCTGATATACGTTCATCACATACATAATAATCCCTTATTTCCAATGCAACATATACTACTGATGTATTTTGCACCTATCGACGAAGACGTTTTGTACCACACGTTTACTGGGTATTTCATTAATGACTCTCCTTGACATCATTCGGACTCTAGTCATCATAATTTCAAAACTGTTATCAAAATTCCAGGTACAGCTCTCATCTTAATGAACAACATGATCCATATTAAATATAACATGTGATCATTGTGAAACACATAATTGACTATACACATTGGTACCCAAATCATACGTTTAAAATCATGTTGTTCTTTCTGTACAGCCTTAGTATTCTGGGACATCAAGGGTAAGTATAAATTGCTTTGATAGACAACTCGCGTTTCACTTACTCCGACACCTTTCAGTGAAACGAGTAAAACAAACAGTTTGTCTGGTGATGCATAGTATTTGTATTTGGTGAAACTAGGCTTTGAATTAATTTTAATTATATGTGAGTACCATTAAATCTTTTTTTTCTTTTTTTTTTTAATATCAACCATTTGTTTTAGAATTGGTCTAATGAGACTGGACTTGTTTGTACAGTAAGTTTTAGTGTTGGGTTGTTGCACTACTGTCAGACGTTACGTGTGTGGATGAGTGCTCACAATTATGTTAAACTCCGTTCTATTCTGTACATGATAATTCCAACCCAGTAGCCTGTAAATACATAGTTGCCTCTAATTGCTGGCCGCCATTGTTGTTTTTCGTTGATTGTTGTAGGTTTAATCAAGTTATATGTTATCCTATTTAGAGTGTTCCACATTTGTTTTACCGTTTTTAAAGCCATTTGGTCCTCCTTGTCTGTTGGTATGTATGAGTAGTAGGGCCGTAGTAGTACCACATCTATTTAGATATGTGTGTGTTAAGAGGTTTTTTTCAAAGATTTAAAAAAAATTACTTTTAGTGAACCATAGTTGTTAACTTTATACTGTGTGAAGTCAGGTGCCCAAAATCAAAAACCGTGTGTGCTGCTGAATCCACAACTGCATAGTTTGTTTGTTCAATATGTTCAAAAAACGTCAAAATTGTACATCACAATCAACAGATCTGCAAACAAATCAGTTATTTTTAGATATAGAAACTTTTCCTAAATGTAGTCATCGTATATCCTAGATTTAAACAAAATGTTTTATAACTACAGCACAAAAAATGCCATGCACAAGCTATTTCTCTAGGAAACACTTGATGTTATACCTTTTATCAATTGCTCTTCAACAAAGTAAATCACTAGATTCAGAAACATAATCATGTATTTTGTGTTGTTTGCAATGTACTTGAATGTCAGTATCAGCTGTGTATAGTATGAGCCTTATCAAAGTTTCTTTTTGGTACCAGCATAAAGTCATGCAAATGTGTTGTGCATGCACATATATGCGTATTGCTGATTTCCTCTTCCTCTTTTAGTTCGTTTTTCAAATTATCGTTCTTTAACTGAACAAACTATTTGCAATCCCAGTTTTAAATACTAGTAAGATGCAATGTTTCCATCATTTTTTTTTAATTCAATGATGTGAGATTCCGAACATGCCACATATTGTTGAACGTTTTTTCCCTCATATCTATCAAAAATATGTAACCACAATCCCTTATATATCATGGACTTTGTTTTGATTGATGGCATATCTCATATAGCCTCTGTAGAAGTCAATCAACATATTTTCAGACCCCAGGGATCAAGAGATTAACATATCGTGTGGTGATTATTGTCATGGTCTTACTACATTTTCTTTCCAATTGATAGTACATTGAATCTTAATTGAATGAAGAATAAATACGGGTAATGTGTCAACATTTCGACCAAACAGAAGAAAACAGCACAAGACTACCAATAGACCTTTAACGAACAGAGAAAATCCCACACCCGGAGATTAAGTTGTGGGCTCCATAACCTAAGTATGTAAAAACGCGACATAGAAATGTATAAAGTAATTGGAATATTGGACTAGAAGAGCAACTATTTGTGTACTTGCGTTTTGACTGATTCATCTACTACAATGGGGAAAACTTTTCTTTGAGATATGTTTTTATAATGTCCTTTGTTCCTATTAAATACATACTATGTATTCTTGAATTCTGTAATATTTTCCAGTTTTTCAATGCATGATTTGCTGCGAATTACACATACATTGAGTTCAAATCATACTCAAAATGTAAGCATGATATTCATTAAATATAATTTTGATATCAATTTGTTATGAGCAAGATACATGAAAACAGTAAAGAAACAAGACTATAACAATAGTTTCTCTAAACGTCCGGTTCTAACAAGAATGATATGCAAAAAGTAAAATAACAAAAATACCGAACACCAAGGGAAATTCAAAACGAAAAGTCCTTTATAAAATGGCCAAATCAAAAGTTCAAAAACATCAAACGAATGGAAAACAACAGTCATTTTCCTGAATTGGTACAGACATTTCCTTATGTAGCCAATGGTGGATAAAACCTGGTTTTATAGCAATGAAATATTGTTGAAATATAATCCTAAAAACGCAGAACGTAGACAGTTAGTATTAGAGACATAAATGTAATTGCAAAAGGATATTGAATGCATAGCTTACTTTGACATAAGAAAATGACAAGACAATAGTGCATGTTTTGATGAAATTGAAATCATAGATTATCAATCCAAGATAATTTCCTTTTAATGACATAAATGTTGATGTTTAGAACAACTTTCAAAAAATGTCTTTGTTCAAACGAGATAAGATACTTTCTTCTTCTTTTCTAGAGACGGATTTTAACCATCACTGTGTTTTCTTCAATAAAGAGCCCGAGTCATATTAACTTCTTTTTTCGTGAATCGGGTATGATACCACGATTGTTAGATGTTAATGCATGTATATTTCGATAAACCCTATACCAGCTAGTTTTTAGATTTGTCGGCAAAGGTTCTGAATCTTTCATTGATTACAGTTTTGAAACCCTCTTTAATAGTTTTTTTTAGCGACACAACTTTGTTTCATTAAACTGAAAGAAAATGAAATGCACGTTGTATTTAGTTCAAAAGAAAAGCTTTTAACTTTGATCCTAAAATGCAAGTATCAAAAGGAACCGTTTAAACACATATATAAATTGGTAGAATCGAGTTTTTGTGGCAGCTCGTTGATCCTTTCTGTTAACTCAAAGTAACACTATTTAAGCCTGTCTTTTTTTTTCTTTTTTTTTGCTGAAATATAAAACAATATATGATTAATGTCAAACGTATCCATTGTTTTGTGATCGGCTTGAAACTGAAACCTCGCTGAGTCGAATACGAAATTTGCTTGATTTTTGACTGACATGTACTAACTTTATAAATATTATTTTGATTGGATGATTCATCACTATGCGTTTTTTTGAATCTGCCGGCAATGCTGATAATACACTGCTAGTTCTCGAGGTACTTATCGTACAACAATAAGCGCGTCAGTACACGTATGTTTAACACTAATCATTTGATCAGATGTTTCCAGTTTTTTCATTTTATTTAATATTCATGAGGTTGTTACTTTCTTTGGCGTATTAACTCAGACGGTTTAAGCTAATCTAAGTTTAGAATGATACTCCAAAATGATTTTTATGTTTGTTTATCAAGGTAATGATCCCGTTGTTACATATGATTAATGCATTTGGATTACGATTGTGAAAAACTTATCATTACTTATATATCCGAAGAGAGTTTGACAATAAGGAATAACACTAATGTAGTTGAAGAGTTGCCGCCATAAATTGTCGAGTAGAAGACCCAGTAAAACGAATATTTGCGACCGTCAAATCCCAGTTGACGGTGGTAACTTTTCAACTACGGTAACGTTATTCTGATGTTAATGCATTACAAAAATGAATAATACCTTAACGATGTTAACATTTCAAAAAAATGTATCAATATGAAATAAAATAAAATTCCGTGAAACTTCATGCATGATTTCATGCGCATAAATGTCATAACTAAACGTGACGTCATACAAATGAGAACTTTCAAAATGAAAGTCATAACGTTTTTTTTTTTTTTTGCTTCAAATTAGGATGAAATCACTTCAAAATGGCTTTTTTGATGTAGGTGTTTTTAAATTTCTAGTAATCGTGTATTTGTTAATCCAATCTCCTTTGATACAACATGTCAACTGTGGATTTGACATCAAGAATTAGCCAATGAAAAGCATAATGACATAAAAAATAGGATTAGAACCGACGAATGTACGTATTCATCCATTGACCTATTTGTCAATGGATAATCTCAAAGGTATCTAACGATCTAAAGAAATCAGGAATGTTAGCACTATAAATGTAATAAAATCAATCAAACCCTCTTGTCCTGGTCACATTTATTTACACATCAAATCGTTTAAATTGGCAATGCCTTTGATAGGAAGTATTGGATTAACGCATACATCTGTAACCTTAAGAAATAACTCTTCGATTAAACGAAAATATTGTGTGCTTATGTATACAATATATTTATCATAGTAATATGTATACCAAAATATACAACATGTTGAATTTTGCAGTATTCAGATGTTTATTCATTTTTTTAGATAATAAATAAAAGTTGGGTACTTTGTGTTTTATATAGCGGTGTTTCTTAAGTTGAAAGAGTGTGCGTCATGATATTTAAACAGTTGTATTCGCCTTGAACATATATCGATAATGCATTACGGCTTGACATGCCGAATTTTGTTGGTATAACTCACCGATATAGTTTTCGGCAGACATTATGAGGAATCACTATATTCTAATGTCATACAATCCATCATCCTGTTAACACACATAAAACAAAATCAGCTTTATAAGATTTTAATGCAACTGTTGATAAACTTTAATGCACAGTTCAATACATACATGTGCATTCACTTGAAGTAATATTAATAATTTTTTTTAATACTTCTGAAATGGAAATGACAAGTTAAAACATGTTATGTGTTATTTTTTGTTTATCTTTAAAACTGTTATTAATTTTACTAAGTTACAAGATCATATCATATAAATAATGCATCAGACGATTCGAGCTGCATTATTCATATATTGAATTCAGCTATACAATCATTTTTCACAATTAGCATCTGTATTATCCACTCGCTCGAAAAGTAAACATGATTTGTAAACGTTTTATACAATCTACTGACACGCTGGTCACATAAAAAGGGAAGTCACAAAAAACTGGACTATCTCATATTAAAGTTTAATAATCACTATTTACAAAATCAATATGTCACGTTAGATATATATCAGGTTAAACACACATGAACTACTGAACTTTGTTTGAGAACAAAAATACGGACTATTTCTACCTTTTTTTTTTTTACATTAAATGACTATTTTGTTTTTGTTATTGTCACGAACATAGAATTCCCAACAGGCTACTCATGTGTTTTTTCTCTTGTGTATTTCCTTTATTTAACCAAGTAAGCTGGAAAAAAAACAAAAATATAGCAAACGTAATATCAAGAACAATAATGCACATGAACAATGGGACAACAATCAACGCAGAAATAATTTTCTGACTTAAAATGCGATGGTTTACGGATGCAAGTAAAATATGAATATTTTAATAATTTATATTCTAATTGTTACAATAAATGGATTAAATGTGCGTTATAGTCGAACCTATGTTTTACATTCAATTGCAAAGTTCATTCACATATCCATATCAGAACAGTGTGAAAAAGGTAATAAAACCTTTGTAATGATATGAAAACAGGATTTATAATTAGTTGTTATATTAATAATGAACCTTTAGAACATGTTATAAAATTGATTTGAACTTTAATGTGCATTGCATAGATTGTATGGATTACTTTTATGTTTACTTATCTGCAAATTTCATAAATCAATAAAGACGACAAATAATGCTAATAAAGGAAAATTGAGAAAACCGCATAACTTCTAACGGAATGATACTGGGTGCACTAAATGAGAAGGCGTCTCCTTCAATGCGTGCATCACCCGCCATGCGAATCGAAACTCGGTCAACTCGGATGCATTATGGAATAGGACACAATTAGTAAAATAATGGATTTGACCACTGTTCTGGTATTTAAAGATCTTAGACTGAGGAAACTTGTTATAAGTTAGTCAAGATACAGACATCGGCCAAACAATTCGTCCTGATGACAGTTAAACGTGATAAGTGTCAATTTCAGTCGTTCTTCCTCATATCTCTGTTAGAACAGTTTGTGTGAATGGATCATTCCGCTTTAAATGACGTCCATAAAGTGTGAACATGCAGTGGCGTAAGTTATCAATTGATATAACAGGGTATAGTGTATGTTACTGTTGAGAAATGAAAGCTGACAGTTGGAAAGCTTAAATAATCAAGTTTGTCATATTTTCGCGTTTGAAGTCGTCCATCTTTATAAATATGAAAATATCAAGATATGAAGCATACCTTTTAGTTTGGATAGTTTACTTAATCTAAAGTTCACTTTTTGTCTTTGAGAAGGTTCTGTTTCAATTCTGTGTCATATAAGTACAAATGCCCGTAGAGATGCAACATAAGTACCCATTGGAATAACGTCGGTAGATATATAAATCTAACAATCTCAATACATGTGTTGTTGATCAAGAGCACCTTTTCGATGATATTATACTTCTTGCATTTGATTTTGAAATCAGTGGGGTTCTTCACAAATTAAGATTGTTCATGACCTTAATAATGACATTTGTATCGACGATGATTTCCTTTTTTGTAGAAAAAATATCTGTTAAATGAGATAATATATTCGATTTTTCAAATTAGTATGGAGAATAGTGTGTGTAACGTAGAAAAAACTTAAGTTTTGATATTGCTGAAAATTTGTAAGATTGTGATTGACAATTATGAAGATTTCTAGCATTGTGAAGAATCCACATATGGTTGACACCGATAATTGAATATCACAATTTTTCGGAAGGCCATCTTTTACTGAAGAAGGAATAGTGATTAAAACTTTAGAAAGATGTTAAGTTGAACATATTGACGATATGGCGATACATTGTGTTCTTTATAAGGATTTTTGGGAAATGAAGGTATCCAGAATAAAGAAGAGATTTTAATCGACCTGTTTTATGTTAATAACAAAGGAGAAAAGAAATGATTTGTGATTCTTTTTTGAAGTTTTTATTCAAAACGTTACGCTTTATGATCAAAAACTAAAATTCCTATAACGACAGTGATGTAACACAAAGGTTTTGGATTTCTTTCATTTCAGTGTATACCTAACATTTAAACAAAAATGTCCCTGAACTTTTCTTTTTGGACATAAGAAGACAACTGCTCTTTTTTCAATACATGATCCTGTAAAATATTACAAAAGCGTTTTAAAACAAAATATGATCAAATTATAAACAAAAAATTTGCAATTTGTATGTCAACTTTTGTTTAAATACTACAACAGTAGTAATATTTGTAACACTATTGCAAATTCAATACACATTCTTAACTTCATGTTTAGTTCATGAAATGTTGATTTAACATTAGTTTAAAACAGAAAAATTAGTGTCGAAAATATAAAACCCTTAAATAATCAAAATAGTAAACAGTGCATGAACCTTTATAACAGCAATTAGTTAATCGTTATGTTCAATATGAGAAAAAGCATGCAAGCGAAGTTAATACTACACAATTAGTTTAAATGGATCTCATGTTATATATTTCAAATAATTACACATTTCATGGTAGCTGTAGGTTCCTGATGTATGAACGTTCAGTTAGTATGTTATGAAGCCTTTTATACAATTAAAGTTTAACAAACGATATTTGTATATTAAAGAGTATATACAGATAGGTATAGGTAAAAACACTAAAGCAAATAACATTGCTACTCTTATACAATAAAAACTAATGCAAGTACTTCTACCGTGAGTATAAATCTATAATTGTTGTCTTTATTTGTATAATCTTATTTATGCAACATGTAAATTGGAAATTTCTAAGTAAGTGAATACGGGTAACTATTGATACTCAACGCAACGTTTAATTTCATATTCATTTTAATACGTAGACAGTTTTGTTATGCAATGATCTTATAAACAATGTTTGTAATTTTACTTATGCATGTGTTCTTACCTTCTTGCTTGTAAAACAAAATTCCAGTAATTTGATCTGTATCTGTATGCACAACAGTCAGATTTTGTCCCGGAGATTTGCCTGTCTTCAAAATGGTTGTGTTGCTTGTGTAGAAGATGAAATCATCATTGATGTCGATGTCCCAGTTTCGTTTTGTTGAATTTGTGCTTACTATCGTTTCGACATCAGACCCATTATACCAAGCTGATTTCAAGTCACCCATGAGATTGTCCATCCAATAAAGTCGTTGATCATCTAAAATAAGAACTTGATAACAAACACTCGACGTCTAATCAGAAATACATATCTCCTCGATGTACTAAACATACAAGACATTTACTGCATAACTGTAGATATATGTTATATTGCACAGGAAATCACATTAAATAACGTACAGAGAGTGTGGCACTCACCCAACACGAAGAATCGGATTAAACATCCCAATTCAGAACGGATGTGACTGCGATTTAATACATTTCACACAGCAAACCAACGCCTCACTTTCGACAAGTTTATATACTGGGACCAGATAATTCCTTTAGACTATACTTCTCACTCAACTCTTGTGTGTTACAAGATGTATTGGTATGCTAAAATGATTGATTGATTCTTTGTTGCTTAACATCCAGTAACAAATAGTTAATGCATGATCAGGACGGGAACAAATTAACAATTAATACAATAGGTAGGTCGTGTAAAAGAGGATGTCCGGGATGGAGGTCGGGATAATTCGAACTGCCACTGAATAATGAGGGTATATTGGATAACGTCAGAAATATTTCCCTGCAACAGGCCACCTTCGGACCTTTCATGGAGTTGTTGCAAGGATTATTAACATGCAAAGAGCGCGGTAATATCTTTTCACGAGGCATCATATTTAACATTTTGACCGGACAGGGCTTCGAACTTGTACATCCCGCACAGCCAAACGGACGACCCACTATGTTAATGTTTTAACTACGGACTGGCAGAAGACATAAGTGACCGTATTTATATTCCCCAGTCACCCTCACTGGAATGCTATAAATAATTTCTGTTCAATTGTAAATGTCTTTTAAATGTTCTCCAGTTTGAGATAAGCTTTCCTGTTGTCAATCAGTACATGTGAAGTGCGAATGTCTATTCGTGTAACTGTAATGATTTAATTGACACGATTAACGCGTATTTAGATTTCAATATTTTTTCCTTGTAATTTTTATTTAATTTTACGTCTCCAATATATCTTTTTTAAACCTGAAATAAAATGAATAATATTTAAATGAGAAAAGGGACAAAAAATAAAAACAACGCTTTATAAATGCATTCGTCTTAAGCTCTTTTCTGAATTTACCTTCATCAGGAACGCTCAAAGCCGAATATTTGAACAGTTGAAAACCTTTATGACCAAATAGGGCCAGACAATAATGGCCAAATCCATCTGATGTCAACTTTGTCTAACGGAGTTGAAATTTTGGTTTCTTAATACTTTATAAATTTATTAATGGACAATTTTAGAAAGGTTTGTCATGAATCATATCAGTACCGAAGTACTGACTCATGAGCTAATGATACCTTCTGGAAATGATCGTCCACCAGCAGCGGTATCGACCAAGTGCAGTATAAAAATGAAAACAACGCTTTATAAAATTCATGCGTCAGAAGCACTTTTTTATATTTAGCTTCGTTAGGAACGCTCAAAGCGGGAATATTTGGACGCAAAACTATACAGCAACTGAACGACACCCTTTTTTCCCCGAAAAAAGAAATATGAGAATGATAAAACTTTCATGTTCGCTTCCCTCAGATTTCGATTTAGACTATGATTTAGTCGAAAGAAGAAACATTAAACAAATATAATGCACATTAGTTTTGAAAGGTGGTTAAAAATATTGCATTGGCATAACCAAAACAGAGATACAAAGACACAAAGCATTGCCACATGTAAAATTAAAAAAGCCAATGACAGCAAGTTCGAGTTTTTGATATAATAATATATAACCAAGCAAATTGATATTTGATCACATGCGACCACATTTTGAGGTAAATCTACGAGTTGCAATCGCGATTTATTTTATTTCACAGCATTATGCAAACTAAAGGAGAACGTTACAAATGCCTACACCTTTAACAATTTTAGCATAGATAAGGATAACATTTGTTATCTTTACTTGTTAACAGCTTACTGTTCGAGAATGGTAAACTGTACACTAATTGTCTTTGTTATATAGTTTGAATTCCTACATACAAATCGACATCCGCAATCACTTTTTGTTCAATTTTGTATATATGACATACCTATGCATATGCCGTACACCCACGATGCCTGGTTATCTATAACTCGGCTTTCCTTTCCGTCAAGTGTCAGCCGTTGCAATGTTCCATTGGATATATCCTGACTATAGTACATCCATCTTGTATTGTTCATAAAAGTAAAACGAAACATAAAGCATTTAGAAATTATCAGGTATATTGCTTCATGTCGAAAATGATTATGATTTTTGTAAAACCCGTAAATGTTATATTGACACCGTTATGGTCAAACTATTAAATCAAATAAGCTAATTTCAATTATTGGTGAAAATGCCATATTTTGTGTTTGAAAATGACACTAGATTAAAGAAACCAACACCAACAGAAAATAACACATATTCCACCATTTTAGTTTAATTAAACATTTTTATATTTTTTCAAACAGAAATGTTTTTTTAACATATCTTTACATGCAATTTTGAAATATCTTAACAACTGATGTATTCATTCACAAAAGAAACATTTAATCAAAACATGATGAACACAAGTACGTGATGCAACAAACCTATTCGCTATGTCAATTGTAAGAGCAGCAGGAGTGCCCGTTCCATTAATAATAGTGATTACATTTGATCCATCCGAATTGCATCTCATTATATTTCCTTCCTTAGGTTCTGTCCAATACAGATGGCTGTTCGCGGAATCAAATGCTATACCCCCTGGTTGATTTCCAGAGACAACACTCTCAAACACAATAGTTTTATTATTTGGATAAGGAAATCTGAAAAAGCCGAAAAATATGTGTATATAACCTTGTGTTTAGTGAGGATCAGGAAATCGGAAATGTTAAAACAGATATAAGACTCTCCATCCAAGTCAAAATTTATAAAAGTAAACCATTATAGGTCAAAGTACGGTCTTCAACACGGAGCCTTGGCTCACACCGAACAGCAAGCTATAAAGGGCCCCAAAAAATACTAGTGTAAAACCATTCAAACGGGAAAACCAACGGTCTAACCTATATAAAAAACGAGAAACGAGAAACATTTATGGACCACATCAACAAACGACAACTACTGAACATCAGATTCCTGAAAGTCCAGAAAGTAACATATGTACCTGCCTATTGATAACCTTTTGCTGACGGAAAATCAGTGCAAAATATGCACAAATACCACGCAAAATGTCCTATAAATAAACTGTAAGTCATATTATTTGAATTGAAATATGTATAGAAAATAGTGTAGATTATGAGTTTTTTTTCTCCACAGAGTGACAAAAAAAAATAAAAAGATAAAATAAATGAATATAATAAGATACGTTTCAGTTATATACGGCCGTTGTGGAAGGGGACGATTTAGATATTTTCTATATCCAGAAAAACGCTTCGGACGCATGAAATTACTAAACGTGTTGTTTTCAATTTTTTAGATACTTACGAACACCATAGCTAATAAAATGACACTGAAAAATAGTGCCAGTGAATATATCAGGATCACAATACATTCTAAGCATAGAGGTTTGTCTTAGTATGCAAAGAAAATTGTCCAAAACGTCGATGTTTTGCGCAATACAATACGATACAACAGAGATTGGTTGCCATTTTTGTGACACTTCCAAAAACTTATTGTCATGCTCAGAACGGAATTTACATAATATAAATCTCACCGTAGTTCTATATTGCATATAAAAAGAAAGGGGTAAAGAGAAAGACATTTCCGCGTCTTTCAGAGAATGAGGACACCTTTTTATTTATCATCTTTAATTTGAACAATTTTGCATTTGAACATTTGGTAGTTTAGATAAGCAATGCTAGCATTCTTGCTTTTCAGTGAACTAAAAGGCCTCACTGCGACTTTTAGAAAGCGCTGTTCCTTTGCGTTTTGTGTGGGTTTTTTTTTTTTTTTTTTTTTTGCTGTGCATGTGCTGATGTTGTGCCATGAATTGATACCCCATATCCTTTGTTTTTCTATTAAAAGGTCAGTTAATAGTTGTTTTGAGCTATTTTGAGATTCAGTGTTTTTCGTTGGTATGCACACACGTGCACACTCTTCAAACAGTAGGGATTGGGTTAGTTTTTTTGGAATAGTCAGAAAATAGTCTATAAATTGCCTCACTAACTTCTTAGGTGTTGTGTACTTTTTTAAGTTAGAGAGGGAAAGGTATGATAAGAGCTCATATTTAACCTTTAGAACTGCAAAACAAAGAAAAACGAGTAGTAAAACCTTCAAAAGTATATTAATATCATTTATACATGGACATGTTGATATTATCTGGACACATTAGAGTAGAAAGGCAGCTTATGCATGTTATGATGACACTAGGATGTCATCAACATCTGGAAATTAACAATAGAAGTTGTCAATTTTACACTTAGCATTGGACAAAATAAATATGTGTTAAGGTCTCTACAAAAAAAACATTACATTCGATATAAAAAAAACATCTTGTATCGAACACGTGTGTTTGGGTAAAGCCTAAGTCCACAATAAGATTTGTATGAACAGATATCAGGATGAGTTTTTTTGTTTGCAGTATTTCTCGTGTAGCGCTAGATATTTAAAATTAGAGGTACTACAGCAGAGATGTAATTCAAAACATATAAATACTGACATATGACAGACTGATATATAAACAACTCTTAAAGAATGTTGGTTGATAGATTCCCTCACCTATACTTTTTTGTATAAACAAATACTAGACCCAAAGTAAAAAAAAATGGCTTAATCATATCATCTCCTTTGTGGTTCTGTTATTTTAGTCCCAAGCAATATTTGCGGTCTAAAAAAAAGACAAGATGATAAAACTTGGGTTTCTTCAAAAAGCTACGTAAACATTTTTTTTATATATATTAGCAATACAAATTGCGATATCTGACTTTAAATGAGCACCGTTTGTGTCTTATGCTTACCTTAATATGTCTCCACTAGTGAATCTTGGAACATATATATATCTTTCTGTCTTGTCATATGCAAGTGCAAACACACCACTGTCAGCATTTCCAAGAAGTCTTAGTACCCCTGTTTCCAAATCTATATCTTTCAAATACCCAGTAGAGGTTGAAAACAACAACTTTTTTTCAAAACCTTAAACATGTGAAATGTATATGTATATATAAACATCGCATGCCTATTTTACCAATAAGTACATTAAGAACCGCGGTAAAAGAAGTTGCATAATATAAATATTGGTACACAATGACTACAAAATGTTGACTGCTTTCATTTAGATTGCCATGATTTCCTAGTTTTATTTAGAGTATTGAACCGTCAATAAAAAAGTATAACAAAAAAATCGAACTCCAAGGTAAATTAAAAAAGGTGGAAGTCCATCAACAGCAGCAATTCAGACCATCATACTTTTTCGTGTCAAAATAAATGAATATTGATATAGGCCCGTTGGAATAACAAAAGCTGACATTTATTTTAACTCCATTCATCAATGATCGTTTCTTATAATCTTTCACTAAAACATTTACACTATTATTTTTCTCAACATAGTCGTCAAATTCTAGGATGAAAAAAAAATCCGTTCAGGTGTCAAGCTTTCACTTAATCTGTACATAATCTACATGTATTGTCTATTTAAGATACTGTAACACAAAGCAAACTCTTGTTTGAATTATATTATTTTCAAAAGGTTAGCTCACTTTGGCTTCCTTGGGGATGTTGATTTACACAAGTTGCCTACATTATATTTACCTCCTGTAATATCATATTTATATTATTTACAACATCAGATGAGAGTTTGCTAAGTTAACTTGTGCATATTGTGTTGCTATACTTGATTGTTTTGATGGTCAAGTTTCTAATCATGTTTAGCAAGTTCATCAGAATGTTTTAACTCAACATTGAGTTGTGTTTTATTATTTAGAAAAATTACTTTCGGTGTCTTTTCTGTTTGTTTTGTTCACATTTTGTTGTCAATATAATGGGATTTTATGCCACTGTCATACCACCATTTTCTACATTAGGAAATTCCTGTACCAAGTCAGAAATATGACATTTGTTTTCCATTCGTTTGATGTGTTTGAGCTTTTGATTTTGCTATTTGATAAGGGTCTTTCCGTTTTAAATTTTCCTTGGAGTTCGGTATGTTTGTTCTTTTCCTTTTTCCTACCACTCTGTAAATTCACTAATATTGCTACATGCTATGATATGCTACTGATTTTCGTTCCAGTAAACCATCTTCACAAGCAGCGTTGCACACTTGTCATTCTAAGAATAACTTGGCGTTTTGACCTCATAAAAATAAGAAAGTGTGGTATGATTTTTAATGAGACAATTTTTCACCAGTAATAATATTGCTTCATATGAGTACATACATGGGCCGTAATATATGTTCAATATTAGGGACGAAACAAGTACTTCCTCTCTTGGATTTGAATTTCGATTCCGGGCATAATTGTCATACTATTGCTATATTTGATTTTATTACTGTTTTTAAGTGAAGATGTCAACTGGTATTTATCTTGTTCTTAACGCCAGGTTCAAGATAAACTTAATTGAGTCTTAGTTTAAAATTGTGTCTTTACAGTTTGAATAACCAGATCTTTGGTTGGGTCTTTCCCAAAAGAAATTGAAGTATGATCTCCAGTTATCAGATGATTTGTATAGTACCATGCGAACATAACGATTCTGTGAATATCGACTTTTATCTGTTAAAAAAAACATCTGAACTTTATACAAAAAGTGCCAAAAAAATCCAAGGAGATCGTAAGGCATATAAGGTATTATTATTTTTTACTAATTCAACACTCTATCATATATAACTATCTTTAGTTTAGCTTGGCGATTATGTGAAAAGCTTGGCGATTATGTGAAAATAGAATAAAAGTGTATTAGATATTAGTTTAAAAATATCAGTTTCGTAAATGTTGTTTGCAAAACATGCCCGTTTTATTGGTAGATAAAGGACAACATCTCATACATGTAATAGTTGACCTATTTTTCACTGAGAGTTCCACTATTTACTTGAGATTTTTGTGCATGTCTCTTTCCAGGTGGAAGTAAGCAACAACAAAAAAACAAAAAAAAAACAAGTGGTTCATAATGTCATAATGCACAGTGTTGTGAAGCACTTCAAACCGATTCCTATCTCGTTGCATGTTTTTGTCGAATTGATAAAATTTGTGAATAGCTTGTATATAGCGGATTCAACCATATGATTAACAATAGTTTTTGTCAGTATAAAGCTCCTGTGTGGGTGTATGTCAACATATGGATACGTACTTTCAACACGAAAACAAAAAACAAAAAAAAACATCGCTAAAAATGATGTTTTTTTTACCTAAAACGTTCAGTGAGGCTTTCCTGATTGGCCAAAATCTAGCACTAAACTACAAGTATTTGATTTGGTGATGCAATTGTGCAATATTATCTAGTAACTAGTTTCGCTTTATTCGTCAAAATTTCTTTGATTTTCTGTTTTAAACAATCTGATGCTTTTGACTCTGAAAGGTGTTTTACTCAGTTGATTATAGTGAGAACTTCCTTGAAATTGCCTTGGCAATAGGCGATAAACATAACATATATGGTTGATTAAATCCAAAGGTTTTGGCTACATTAAATCTCAGGGCTATCGTTCGTCAACATGGTCAATGAGAGTGTATCCAATGTCAGATCCTTAAACAATCTAAAATTTCGACCTTCAAATTTCAGAAAGTAATCATATCTACTTAAGGGCATACGATACAGTTACAGGGATGGTAATGACGTTGCTAACGTAAAATGCTAATTTTTGCGACGTCAAACTGTGACATATGAGGAAAGATTCATTTTTTGACTGATTTCAATCAGTGGCGTGAAAACGAGTACATGGACCCAACTTTTTAAAAATGGCATTTAGCTTTATTATTAGTGACTATTTGTGCCAATCTTTATGAACAAATCTTCGATGAATTTATTTTAAATAAAATAAGTAAACAGCAAAGAATGACTTTTTCTTTTCTAAACTGGAAAAATTAAACAAAAATGAAGAATTTTCAAAGAATTGATACACAAATACTTATGTAAAGAAGATATTCCAAATGTTTTACAAAAAAAATCGCTTGTATTTATTTATCTTTTGACACAAAAAAGTTAGGTGTGTCCTTATGGAGTAAAAACATTTCCAAGAAACTCAAATTTTGAGTAAATGTCTAAAATTAAGACCCCATTTATCTCTAAAAGTAGCACACGCAAGTATATGGACGTTTGTACGTATCGTACATATATGTATGTACGTTTCGGCAATAAAGTATATCGCAGGTTGAAGGTATTCTTATGGACACCAACTGTGCGCCTTTAATAGCAGACTTGTTTCTATCCTGTTATGAATCTTATTTTATTGCCAAACTCAGTAAAGAACCGTCTACATTCCATTTAGTTGATAAATTCAACAATACTTACCGTTATCTTGATGATATTTTTTGTTAAATGATCAAGAAATCTCTAAATATACTGCTTAAATTTACCCAAAGGAACTTACTTTGAATCAATCAAATATTAACAGCAATAACTGTTCTTTCCTAGATTTAGATATTTCAGTGTTACACCAAAAACTATACACAAAAATTTACGACAAAAGGAATGATTTTACTTTTGCTATAATGTTCCTTTTGCACCGTTTTACTGTGTTTATACTTACCAACTCGTTCGCTATGCTTGTTTTTGTAGTGACGTTTTAGATTTCAATGAACGTAATCTATGTATTACTAGTAAATTAATAAATCAGGGATTTAATTACACAACAAATTACTTAAAACTTTTTCTAATTTCTTCCATAGATACAAAGATTTGGGTTGCAAGTTTGGCTGTACCTGTAGAAAACTTATTTCAAACGGAATAGCACATCCTAATTTTTACGGTGATGTTGTTAACCGAGCCCAGAAATTTATATACGATCCCGGTAAACTTATCAATCCTTTAAATAAACTTATTCCAAAAGGTTACCTATTCAACACTGTAATTAAATCTTTGAATGTTGTTTTTATTGGTATAAATATTGATATTGTTATCTGTAAATTAAAAGCATACTAAATATTACACATATGTACTTTCACTGTACCACAATCTGTCGATACTTATATTTTGGCAATGGACAAGTCATACTTTTCTCATACTGTTGATGCTGTCTTTAGACTATATCCATTGGATGTTGGATGTGTACTGATTGATATTCTAGTCTTAGATACATGATTTTGTTTACTAGTTGTTATTGGCTTCGAACTAGCTGTCAGTAACTGCGAGTACTCTCAGATCTGTGTCTTTTTTTTTATGTTAGGGATGAGGAATGGATATATACCCTGCCACATCCGGTCTGTGTTTCTGTTTGATGTTTTTCTTTGTATCAATCTTATGAGTTAAGCCTTTTTCAACTGATTTTTATAGTTTGTTCTTATGTTGTGCTGTCCCAGGTTAGGGGAGGGTTCAGCGCTCACAAACATGTTGAACCCCGTCATATTCTGTATGTGTTGGTCCCAGGTCAGGAGCCTGTAGTTCAGTGGTTGTCGTTGGTTCATGTTTGTCATATTTGCTTTTTTTTTCGTAAATTGTTTTGTTATAAATTTTGACGTTGGTTTTCTCATTTGAATTATTTCATATTTTTCATGTCGTGGCCTTTTATAGCCGACTATACGGTATGGGTTTTTCTCATTGTTGAAGGCCGCACGGTTCCCTATAATTACTTACATCCACTTTATTTGAACTTTGGTGGATAGTTGTCTCATTGGTAATCACAGCACATCTCCTTATTTTTATATATGTTTTATTACATATATCAATTAACGAGGTAACAAATATGTTGTATGCACATTTTCGTAAAAAAATCACAGTGGGATCAAAACTGTATCGTTTGTCCTATAGGTTAAACTTTGCCTATACCTACATGTAAGATTTATTGCTATTGTTTTTTTAGAGGAAAAATTATTGGAATTTAACTTTTCTATCTCATTCTTTTTCATATTAGAAGTATTAAGAAATTGCTTAGCATCGCTTTTAAAATTATCCTAATAAAAATATATATGTCACAATATTCATTCTTTATAAAATATATTTAAAGAAAAAAAAACGTGAAATATTTTCAGTTACATTAAGCACACATTTTGGGTCTATAGGAAGATAACATTCAAATTATTGGCTTATACTTACAAACAATACCACAAATCATATAAAGCATCGAAACCAAGCAAAACCAAGTCACATGTAACCCCATGTTGTTGCAAGAATAAAAAAAAACGCCAGACCTATAATTTAAAAAAGAAATTATAAAAAAAACATTGTAGTATTTAAAATGATACACATATATTTTGTTTTTCAAAAAGATTCATTTTATTTATTAAGTTTATAATGCATTCATAATTGCTGAAATTCAGTATTTGAACGAAACGAATATTAAACACATTATCAATCTCCCATTCTTGTGCATCGGCATAATTATCATGTGTTTCGACATGTTAATTAGCAATGTCGGGGCCTCGGTGGCTGAATGGTCTAAATAGTCAAACTACTGTATCGCAAGTCTGTCAATGCTAAAGTTGTTCGAATTCCGCACGTGCATGGCTAGTTGGCTTAATTGACTATGATTGTCAGTTTTCCTACCGAAGGTCGGTGATACTCTCCGGGCACTCCGGCTTCCTCCACTAATAAAAACTGACAGCCACGAAATAGCACATTCAATCAATCAATCAATTAGTAATGTCATCTTAAAACAACTGCTAACAGTATTATTTCTACCACTATAAGAACTAACTATTGAAATACCCAATATGCACTATTTTCCATTCCATATTAAACCATATTCTATTCCTGTTTTTACAAATTTTATTCTTCAAAACAGAATTGTCGCACATCGCATGAAGATGTGAAGATTTGAGATGCTATTAAATTTGAAAGACGACTGTGTCGCCGTCATTATGTTTTTCCGTAGATATATATCCTATCATTCGGGAATTACGGACATGGTTCTCCCTGTACAAATTTGGAACATGTTTGCTAAATTATTCAAAAGAAATCAATGACAATTGCTTAATTACATCGGGTATTTGAAATGACCTCTAACAGATCCCATTGGCAGTGTTCTACGTGGTATAGTCAAATAAAGTATAAATAATGGTAACAGTAGTATGCCGCTGTTAAATAGTCATTATTTGATTAAGCAAAACCAAATCCGGGTAACAAACTTAAACCGAGGGAAAAACATCAACTATAAGAGGACAACAACGGAACAACAGAAACACTAAACTGAACAAAAGCTAACGCCAACATACATAGAAACGGACTGTAGATAACAACTGCCATATTCCTGACTTCGTACAGGACATTTTAAGAACAATTGCGGGTTGAACCTGGTTTTATGTCTAGCCAAACTATATGGCAATGTTAAAAATACCGTTAAAACTGTTGTGTAAGTGAATTTGTTTAGCATTTATGTTTTTTTATAGGCTATTTCTATTCAAGAACATATTATCATTTATTTGTTCAGTTATATTGTTACGATTGAATTGAAAAATATTCACTTAAGAAAAACCAGACAACAATCTCCGATTCGTAAAATTATTCGCATAGTTATGACAAGGTGTATTATTGGTTTCAAGCGTTATATGATATAACGTTTAATTAAACATTTGAAGACCTGAACCAACACTTTGTAATAAACCATAGATCAGTATTCAATTTCAGTCTCTTTCAACAGTACATGCAAGTATGTTTTTGTAAAATGAACATACATTTTAATTTAAAATTATTTAATCTGTCAAAGATTGTATGTCATCAAACCTTTTATGGAGAATACAGTCATGGAATGAATAATTCTGCTTTTGGGTATTCACCTAATTTTTTTGTCGTATCTGGAGAAGTTACCCACTGAAAGCTCCTTAGTTTAATCAAACGATTCCAGCTACACGTGTCTCTTGAGGATTAAACAATTGTGGCCTTAAACAATGTATTAACACGAATAATGAGGTTTTGAATAGTGTTTTAATTTCGAACCGACTAGAAATATTATATCTATTGGGTTTACTCACAACTTAATCATGTGAAGTAACCTCTTTTATCTTGATTGGCTTTCACATTTGAATTTGATATAAATTTATTTAACACAACAAAGTTTTCATAATACAAATTGGTTGAAAAATTTGTGTTGTAGTTGTATGATTACATTCTAGTTATTTAAAAGGGAGGGTTTGTGATTACATACATTGTTGTGGCTGTTCAAATGCAGTTATTGCACCATGCGTTAATAGAATTTGATTGTCTGTAATGTTTTGTCTAGCTTGCTAATGGTGGTTGTTCTTGTTTTTCGTAGTCAAGAATGTGTTGGTGTTTTCTGTTAATATAAAGGGTTGTATTGTTGACCAAATTTTCCAAAAAAAACACATTTAGATCATTTTATATAATGACACAGTAAATGTATTATTCTAAAGTTTACATTGAATTAAGATAGTCAGGTGTCTTTACTGAAATAGTCAAACTTTTACAAATGAATGCAATTAATATTTAAATGAAATAAACACTTTAGGCATTACATTCTTCCGAAGCGCTTTTCTTGATTTTTCGTCACCAGATACGTTCTAACCTAAACATTTAAAAGGCAGGGATGCGTAAAAACGCTGCTATGTATGTAACTATATGACCAAATAAAAGCCCTCAATTTATCTTAAGTCAACTTTGCCTGAGGGAATTTGAACCTTTATGTTCTTAATATTTATTTTAACTGATGAACAGACGAGTGAGACTTTTCATCTAAATGAAGAAAGATTTATTTTTGATTATTTCGACTTTTTATACAAAAACAAAATACATTTTGTTTGTTTCAAATTCTTTTACCTATACTATACATGCTATATGAAGGAAATTTACTCAAATAATCTAAAGTTATATTGAAATGTAAAATAAATTAACCTATTAAATCATGATTAATTTATACAAAATCGGACAATTTTGCACAACCTGTAGCATTTGATACCGCATGATACGTGTATAAACAACAGTTTGACACAGTATGAACAATTTAGAAAAAAGTAAAATTAAACAATGATAAATAACTAAACTAAATGCGATTTCAAAATATTAAATCAATTAAACACTTCAAGTATCAAAACTGATGTGCATTTTGTCTTAGAGAAAGGCATTTAATAAACACAACATACGTATTATGATTAAATTTTAAACGCCCGACGCGCGTTTCGACTCATCTAAGGTAATCTTATAACTTCAAATATACATACCTCATAAGTTTGGATTAGAAATGTCCTAAAAACGTAAGTGTGTGTTTGCCCATGACATACATGGACATAGTTATGTCGATAATGATTTCATTGATATTTGTATTTATCTATAGTTACTGTAACTGTGCTTATCACTAATGCATGTTTAAATATATTTCGCGATAGGAAATTACTCAATGGAAATCGATCACATGCCAAAAAATAATGTTTAATTTTATGTTTGCACAAGACCAGTCCTGTTTGAACATTAAAGAGATGCATCTTATGTTACACGTAGGTTGATTTAAACATATACATTACAATTTTGTTATAACTTCCATAACCCTAGTATATATAACAATGCCATCTTTTTTGTTATTAAACAGGATATACATGATAATCAAAAACTTTTTATTTGAAATTAAAAAAAAAACCACCAGCTGACTACAATTTTAAATAAATCAACCGCATTTCAGTTTCAATTAAAATTTTATTAGCCATTATTTGGTTTCATATTCAAATTAACGTAAATGTTTGTTTAAAAATGCTCTTCAATTTCGTACTTGGTTTGGCCTTTAATCCTTTTCGATTCTAGCTCCACTCATCATAATGATAATTGTATTTCAACGAAACGTCTGGCATGCCAACTGATATAACTGGTATCTGTGATGTGTTTTTATACGTGAATCATTGAACTTAAACACAAAGCAAAGACACATACTGATGTGAAATGAACGACAACACTTGTTGTAGTATTGAAGGGATAATTGCATATTAGTAGCTATTTCATCAATATTTATTTAACCAACAGGACATCAACAATTGATACAATTTGCAATTAAATAAAAGGATACACACATTTCACCCAAAACACCGTTTACATGATATATGTTCTAAAAGTTATATTTAGGTTGAGTCGAGATATTAGCCAAGTATGAAAATAGAAAAATACAAATCAATTAAAAGTACCAAAAATATGCTCAGTCGTAGTTGGCACCAACATTAAGTAACTTAAGAAATCTTTAGCCATTTTTGACACAACTTTTCAGAATCTCGGTTTTTATTGTCTAAACTGAACTGTTACCTTCCAACTGTTTGCATTCGAGTATCATTGCCGAGTTTTTGTATCAATATGATATCGTTTGCACAAACAATTATAACATTCGTCATGTCCATTATTTAGCTATGGCTTACAGTTTAATGTATTGTTTAGGCATAGTGTAGTATGTGGCTTCGTATCTGGAATACATATTGATTATAATAATATTAATAGACAGAAGTTCATTAATTTCCTAATTTAGATTGAAATAGTACATCAAGTCACATAGGATTCCATGAGAAAAAAATAAGCAGATCTAGCCCTACTGATCGAAAGAACCGCATTAAAGTAACGAAAGTGTTTTACGGACAACACATGAGCAATAATTCAGGCGTTCTGACATTATCATAAACCAAAAGTAACATAACAGCTACAGGTATAAACAGGGATAAAAACCTAAAATTGCACGACAGTTATGCAGATATGTAATAGTAATACAAATAAATAAGTGACAGATTATCAGACAGATGAGACATAAGATTAACAAAGAAAAAGACAAACAAAACAAAAAGGATGTGAGATATCAAAAATAAATACCAATTAAATTGAACTTTATTTCATTTTCGATCGTGAGACTGCTCAACGCTGACAGATTGTAATTTATTGCATCACTTTATCTTATATAAAGTTGTGATACGAATGGAATAAAACGATGTATAAAATAGGTGGGTTTCTTCTTTTTATTATAAGAAGGTGTATTATCAAATTTGAACTTAATGTAAAATGTTATAAATTTATTTTATTTCTTTTAAAGACACCCTTTTGTATCAATTAATTTGTATGCATTTTAAAATCTATGTTAATGCGTTTGCTTCTAGCTAAAACAGAACAGTCTTTATGACAACAAAATCAACCCCGCTTTATAGCAAAAATGTTCTATATCGAAAACCATTCTAAAAAGCAGTTACATATTGTATGCAATGGATATTAAGCGACGCATTTTTTTCTTCAGTGTGTGTTACAATATTCAATATGTTATTGCCTAAAATCGTCAGTGCTAATATCAAAGTGATGCAATGATTCCGGAAACCTCTATCTAAACTACATGATCAGCAAATATGAATAATTGGTAATGATAATTTTAGGTAATTGTTTCGTATTCAGACAAGCTTCTAAGAGTTGTCGATATTGTATTTTTTTTCAAAGACTACAGTAGAAATATAATAATGACATTTGTAGTCAGCATAAATTAATAGCAGTTTACAAAAGTCCAAATCTCATCAATTGATTTAGAAGGTAAATCAAGGTAACAAACGTAAACTGAAGGAATCCCTAAGACCCTTAATGAACGAGACCTGATGCTGCTATGTATGCATCACCGTCTACGCGAATTCGAATTTAAATGGTACATTCGGAAATAGGGAGTAGGACGTAATCGGTAGAGTTATTGATCAGACTACTCTTTTGGTATCTGAAGATCTAAGACTACAACGATATGTCGCAAGTGACTAAAGACACAGACATTTCGTTTTGATCAACCAAATCGTGGTGGTGACTATGAATGTGTTGAATTTATATGTTCTTCATCGTAACTCAGTTGGAGAAGTTTTTGCGTAAAGAGAAAAAGCATACATTCGTAAGTAGTGTTATTGCCAGACATATAACATTCATTTATTTGCTAATATATTGTCACTATGTCAAATTAGAAAGAAAAGATTTTACGTTTGAATTGTCTTTAACAACGAACATTTTTGTCAGATCCTCAATTAATGCAAAGATTCAGTTAAATGCAAGGACATTACTTCATAGCTGAAACATCAGATCTGTCATTAGATATACATGTATGGCATGTCAAAGAAAAATTATAAACAACTTATTGGATAAAAACCAAAAGTAGTTTTACAATTGAGACGAGACATCAAACTATTAAAGAAGACTACAACGAGAATGTTGTACCGTTATCCTAGGTTAAGGGGAGGGTTTGGCGCCATATTCTGTATGTGCCTGTCCCAAGTCAGTAACCTGCAATTCAGTGGTTGTCGCTTGTTGCTGTATATCATATTTGTTTTTCGTTCATTATTTTGTACATAGGTCAGGCCGTTAGTTGTTTCGTTTGAATTGTTTTACTTTTGTCATTTCAGGGCCTTTTATAGCTGACTATGCGGTATAGGTTTTACCTATTGTTGAAGGCCGTATTGTGAACTATAGTTGTTAATTTCTGTGACATTTGGTCTCTTTTTGGGAGTTGTCTCATTGACAATCATACCACATCTTTTTATTCCTATTTAACATGTTGTAAGTAGTCCTGTCATCACCAGTCAAAAAGATAAACTCATCTGATTTTGTTTGAAAATGTATGTCCTTTCATTGTCATTGTGTCCATTTTTAATTCTTTAAAAAAAAACACGCACTTCACATCTTTTAAAACTAGTTTAACATAAATCTTTAATTCCATTACTGATTTGCAAAAGAAAGAAGTTCTTGAACGCAGAAGCTGGTAGAAACACTATGTTAATTTTTAGGCTAAAAAATTATATGGAAAAAAATCCAAATGTATGTAATGTTCGGCGGCTTAACAGATATATAATAATTTTGGTAGATGCCACTGCTGATCGACATTTGGTCTCCGACGGTATTATTAGACCAAAAGTCCGCACTTTTGTACATCATTGAGATGTTCATTTTTCTGTCGATTTATTATTTATAAAATGTTGAATAATTCGAAATACAAAGGTTTGTTAACACCAGATATAGATTGTCTTAGCCCCAATTGTAATAAATCTTTAGAATGTACGGTTTGTAATGCGCTTCAATTTCTTTGTGTTTGGCCTTCCATATATTTTGATTCGAGTGTTATTTATGCATCGTATGAAAACAAAAAACGCGTCAAGCGTTGCAGACGATATAACTGGTATCTCTGATGCGTTTTTATCTGGTCTTGAACTATAAAGAAGCATTTTTTTCGTGGGTACCAATTTTCAAACATTTTAAACCCGGTTCATTCAAGGCCTGCATTTAACTTATAATCTATATTATTACAGTCATTTCTGTTTAGCAAAGTACAAAAACTGCATTCTATGAAATAACATATTGTATAATCGTTAACTACATGATAGTGATTTGCGGCTTAACAGAGGGATTATAAATCTATCAACGTTTAAAGTGGCCTTTTTGTAGATATATAAGCATCATTTTAGATAAAGCTAAGTACTCTTGAAACTATGGATTCAGATATTTATACATTGTAAAGAGAAGATTAGTGATTTGTCTCTGCAGTCGATTTTCAAATTAATGCTCAATTCTAATAATGTATCAATAAATGCTAAAAGTGAAGGTCATAAACAGTTTCATTCACGTTCGCCATCACGAGCTAATTGACCATTATGGGTTATCTTTTCAATAGTTGACCTAGGATATGTTCCAATAGTCGTAACACAGGTCCATCTTCTTTTTCTCGATTGTTACACCACTAAACGAGATTTTAAGTAACAATGAACAAAGCGATGGGTGCTATTAGTGGTTCGAGATCTGCTTAACCTTGCAGACCAATTGAAATCATCAACAGTAGTGTTTGTGCTTATGGTACTCAGTTTTTAATTCCCTTTACATGTAAATTTGTTTGTGTTTTTGTCGTCTTACGTTGTTTTGCTATGGCGTTGTACATTTCGTTCACCATATTAGTTAAAATGTCCCCTTTATATCTTTGTTATATTTTACAAAAGAGCATAAATAATTGACTAATTCATCAGTCTTGTTTTCATTTATACATAAGCAAATTCAAACACGAAGAATAAAATTATATACGCAGTTATCAAGAACAAACAGTAAACCTATAACAATTATTATCAACTATTTATAACATATACGGTATTAGTTTCACTACGCTAAAAGCGCTGTCTGCCACTGAACATTTCTCTTGTGATGCTTGAGTCCTAAATATTGAGAAAATAAATTATACAAACATTGATACATCAACCAAGAACTTTTAGTGTAGCCAAATCCAGAAAATGTTAAATCAACAATAATAACCAATAAAACTATTCATAACATTCTTTGTTTTATATTCCTTTGTAAATTCATGATACAGTCAACCGATGATTTGTATAGTCCTGTTTTCCACTGTAGCAAATCCATTCCTCCGGGTAG